GACCAGAGAGAGAGACCAGAGAGAGAGACCAGAGAGAGAGACCAGAGAGAGAGAGACCAGAGAGAGAGACCAGAGAGAGAGACCAGAGAGCGAGACCAGAGAGAGAGACCAGAGAGAGTGACCAGAGAGAGTGACCAGAGAGAGAAACCAGAGAGAGAGACCAGAGAGAGAGACCAGAGAAAGAGACCAGAGAGTGACCAGAGAGAGTGACCAGAGAGAGAGACCAGAGAGAGAGACCAGAGAGAGAGACCAGAGAGAGAGACCAGAGAGAGTGACCAGAGAGAGTGACCAGAGAGAGAAACCAGAGAGAGAAACCAGAGAGAGAGACCAGAGAGAGAGACCAGAGAGAGAGACCAGAGAGAGAGACCAGAGAGAGACCAGAGAGAGAGACCAGAGAGAGAGACCAGAGAGAGAGACCAGAGAGAGAGAGACCAGAGAGAGAGACCAGAGAGAGACCAGAGAGAGACCAGAGAGAGAGACCAGAGAGAGAGACCAGAGAGAGTGACCAGAGAGAGTGACCAGAGAGAGAGACCAGAGAGAGAGACCAGAGAGAGTGACCAGAGAGAGAGACCAGAGAGAGTGACCAGAGAGAGAGACCAGAGAGAGTGACCAGAGAGAGAGACCAGAGAGAGAGACCAGAGAGAGAGACCAGAGAGAGAGACCAGAGAGAGAGACCAGAGAGAGAGACCAGAGAGAGAGACCAGAGAGCCAGACCAGAGACCTAGTCCAATAAAGCTCAATAGGGAAGTGCTCCTGGCTCCTTTAACTCCTTTAGCTGTTTTTATTGTGATACTTCTCGTGTAAATCCAGTTATGAGCCCAGAGAACTTGATCCATCTGGTGCCTTCTGTTCCTGGATTTGGGATGAGCTCGCACAAACAGACCAGTGCCGCACCTGATTGGCTCCTTGGTTACTATGCTGTTGCTATGCTGTTGCTATCCACTGCATTCATATCTGACGTGGAAGCTAACGGCTAAGGGTCTTACTTGAATCTTGGGATTTCGTCTCCAGAGGGAAATACTGACTTTTCGGTGTCATTTGTGACTCTTAAAACACAGTTGAAAAAAACAGCTAGATTAATCTCGGGATAAAGTAAGGGTTCGGATTAGGCTAGCTTAGCGCGGGACGAAATACCAAGATTTTAGTGAACCCTGTTATTATGAAACGTTAGCGTTTACGGTTACGTGTTCCTCACAACATGAAAACCTGAAACCTGGGTTCGGGTTAAGGCTATTTATATACAATAGATTATGTCAGACCTCTGAAGCAAAGTAGGACAGGGTCTGGTTAGTACTATGATGGGAGACCTCTGGGAACACCAAGTGCCACAGTGGGGCAGTGTAAGCGGCCAAACTGTGGTTGTGTCCTTAGGCAAGACACTACACCCACATTAGAATGAGTCTGGTGTGTGTGAATGGTTGGTGGTGGTGGGAGGGGCCGATGGCACAGACTTGTTGCCTCACTTCTGTCAGTGTGCCCCAGGGCAGCTGTGGCTACAAAATAGTAGTAGTTTATCACCACCGTGTATGGAGTGAAAGAATAATATAGTTATGTGTCTTTGACCAGAAAAGCGCTTTATAAAACTGATGCATTATTCATGATTATGTGCACAGTATCTCTCTCTCTCTCTCTCCCTCTCTCCCTCTCTAACTCTGCTCTCTCTCTTTCTCTCACACAGACCTCTCTCTCCCTCTCATCTCTCTCTCCCTCTCTAACTCATCTCTCTCTCTAACACAGACCTCTCTCTCCCTCTCTAACTCAGCTCTCTCTCTAACACAGACCTCTCTCTCTCTCTCCCTCCCTCTCTCCCTCTCTCCCTCTCTAACTCTGCTCTCTCTCTCTAACACAGACCTCTCTCTCCCTCTCTAACTGCTCTCTCTCTCTAACACAGACCTCCCTCTCCAACTCTGCTCTCTCTCTCTAACACAGACCTCTCTCTCCCTCTCTAACTCTGCTCTCTCTCTCTCTAACACAGACCTCTCTCTCCCTCTCTCCCTCTCTAACTCTGCTCTCTCTCTCTCTAACACAGACCTCTCTCTCCCTCTCTAACTCTGCTCTCTTTCTCTAACACAGACCTCTCTCTCCCTCTCTAACTCTGCTCTCTCTCTCTAACACAGACCTCTCTCTCCCTCTCTAACTCTGCTCTCTCTCTAACACAGACCTCTCTCTCTCTCTCTCCCCCTCTCTCCCTCTCTCCCTCTCTAACTCTGCTCTCTCTCTCCCTCTCTAACTCTGCTCTCTCTCTAACACAGACCTCTCTCTCCCTCTCTAACTCTGCTCTCTCTCTCTAACACAGACCTCTCTCTCCCTCTCTAACTCTGCTCTCTCTCTCTAACACAGACCTCTCTCTCCCTCTCTAACTCTGCTCTCTCTCTCTAACACAGACCTCTCTCTCCCTCTCTAACTCTGCTCTCTTTCTCTAACACAGACCTCTCTCTCCCTCTCTAACTCTGCTCTCTCTCTCTAACACAGACCTCTCTCTCCCTCTCTAACTCTGCTCTCTTTCTCTAACACAGACCTCTCTCTCCCTCTCTAACTCTGCTCTCTTTCTCTAACACAACCTCTCTCTCCCTCTCTAACTCTGCTCTCTCTCTCTAACACAGACCTCTCTCTCCCTCTCTAACTCTGCTCTCTCTCTAACACAGACCTCTCTCTCTCTCTCTCCCCCCTCTCTCCTCTCTCTCCCTCTCTAACTCTGCTCTCTCTCTCCCTCTCTAACTCTGCTCTCTCTCTAACACAGACCTCTCTCTCCCTCTCTAACTCTGCTCTCTCTCTCTAACACAGACCTCTCTCTCCCTCTCTAACTCTGCTCTCTCTCTCTAACACAGACCTCTCTCTCCCTCTCTAACTCTGCTCTCTCTCTCTAAACACAGACCTCTCTCTCCCTCTCTAACTCTGCTCTCTTTCTCTAACACAGACCTCTCTCTCCCTCTCTAACTCTGCTCTCTCTCTCTAACACAGACCTCTCTCTCCCTCTCTAACTCTGCTCTCTCTCTCTAACACAGACCTCTCTCTCCCTCTCTAACTCTGCTCTCTCTCTAACACAGACCTCTCTCTCTCTCTCTCCCCCTCTCTCCCTCTCTCCCTCTCTAACTCTGCTCTCTCTCTCTAACACAGACCTCTCTCTCCCTCTCTAACTCTGCTCTCTCTCTCTAACACAGACCTCTCTCTCCCTCTCTAACTCTGCTCTCTCTCTAACACAGACCTCTCTCTCCCTCTCTAACTCAGCTCTCTCTCTAACACAGACCTCTCTCTCTCTCTCTCCCCCTCTCTCCCTCTCTCCCTCTCTAACTCTGCTCTCTCTCTCTAACACAGACCTCTCTCTCCCTCTCTAACTGCTCGCTCTCTCTAACACAGACCTCTCTCTCCCTCTCTAACTCTGCTCTCTCTCTCTAACACAGACCTCTCTCTCCCTCTCTAACTCTGCTCTCTTTCTCTAACACAGACCTCTCTCTCCCTCTCTAACTCTGCTCTCTCTCTCTCTAACACAGACCTCTCTCTCCCTCTCTAACTCTGCTCTCTTTCTCTAACACAGACCTCTCTCTCCCTCTCTAACTCTGCTCTCTTTCTCTAACACAGACCTCTCTCTCCCTCTCTAACTCTGCTCTCTTTCTCTAACACAGACCTCTCTCTCCCTCTCTAACTCTGCTCTCTTTCTCTAACACAGACCTCTCTCTCCCTCTCTAACTCTGCTCTCTTTCTCTAACACAGACCTCTCTCTCCCTCTCTAACTCTGCTCTCTTTCTCTAACACAGACCTCTCTCTCCCTCTCTAACTCTGCTCTCTTTCTCTAACACAGACCTCTCTCTCCCTCTCTAACTCTGCTCTCTTTCTCTAACACAGACCTCTCTCTCCCTCTCTAACTCTGCTCTCTCTCTCTAACACAGACCTCTCTCTCCCTCTCTAACTCTGCTCTCTCTCTCTAACACAGACCTCTCTCTCCCTCTCTAACTCTGCTCTCTCTCTCTCTAACACAGACCTCTCTCTCCCTCTCTAACTCTGCTCTCTTTCTCTAACACAGACCTCTCCCTCTCTCTCTCCCTCTCTAACACAGACCTCTCTCTCTCTAACTCTGCTCTCTTCTCTAACACAGACCTCTCTCTCCCTCTCTAACTCTGCTCTCTTTCTCTAACACAGACCTCTCTCTCCCTCTCTAACTCTGCTCTCTTTCTCTAACACAGACCTCTCTCTCCCTCTCTAACTCTGCTCTCTTTCTCTAACACAGACCTCTCTCTCCCTCTCTAACTCTGCTCTCTTTCTCTAACACAGACTCTCTCTCTCCCTCTCTAACTCTGCTCTCTTTCTCTAACACAGACCTCTCTCTCCCTCTCTAACTCTGCTCTCTTTCTCTAACACAGACCTCTCTCTCCCTCTCTAACTCTGCTCTCTCTCTCTAACACAGACCTCTCTCTCCCTCTCCAACTCAGCTCTCTCTCTCTAACACAGACCTCTATCTCCCTCTCTCTCACACACAGACCTCTCTCTCCCTCTCTAACTCTGCTCTCTCTCTCTAACACAGACCTCTCTCTCCCTCTCTAACTCTGCTCTCTCTCTCTAACACAGACCTCTCTCTCCCTCTCTAACTCAGCTCTCTCTCTCTAAAACAGACCTATCTCCCTCTCTCTCTCACACAGACCTCTCTCTCCCTCTCTAACTCTGCTCTCTTTCTCTAACACAGACCTCTATCTCCCTCTTTCTCTTACACAGACCTCTCTCTCCCTCTCATCTCTATCTCCCTCTCTAACTCATCTCTCTCTCCCTCTCTAACACAGACCTCTCTCTCCCTCTCCAACTCAGCTCTCTCTCTCTAACACAGACCTCTATCTCCCTCTCTCTCTCACACAGACCTCTCTCTCTCTCTCTAAAACAGACCTCTATCTCCCTCTCTCTCTCACACAGACCTCTCTCTCCCTCTCTAACTCATCTCTCTCTCCCTCTCTCTAACACAGACCTCTCTCTCCCTCTCTAACTCATCTCTCTCTCCCTCTCTCTCTCTCCAGGCTGGTTCCTCAGACGGTGGGCCTGCTGTACGTCGGAAACTATGACAGGCCGTTTGCGAACATGAAGGTGAGACAATAAATGTGCTGTTCTGTTCCATTTATTTCCCGCGGTGTGAAAGTTCTGAGCCTCACAGACAATCTGCGGCTTCTACATTCAAAAGAATCACTTTATCTCCAGTAAAATCAATCTAAAGTATGTGAGATCGTATTAATACTTTTCATCTATCGGCAAAAAGTCAACACGCCGTCCTCATCTTGTTAGAAAACTGTCTTTTGTAAACTGGTCAGAAAGAGCCTTGACCGTCTCTGGTCTCTCTCTCTCTCGGGTCTCTCTTTATCTATCTATCTCTCTGGTCTCTCTCTCTCTACTCTCTCTCTTCTCTCTGCTCTCTCTGGTCTCTCTTTTCTCTCTCTCTCTCTCTCGGGTCTCTCCCTCGCTGGTCTTTTTCTTCTCTCACTCTCTGCTCTCTTTCGGCTTTCTCTCTCTCTGGTCTCTCGCTCTCTCTCTGGTCTCTCGCTCTCTCTCTGGTCTCTCGCTCTGCTCTCTCTCTCTCTCCCCCTCTGCTCTCTCTCTGCTCTCTGTCTCTGCTCTCTCTCTCTCTCTGCTCTCTCGCTCTGTCTGCTCTCTCTTTCTCTGCTCTTTCTCTGTCTGCTCACTCTCTCTCTGCTCTCTCTCTTCTCTCTGCTCTCTCATATAACCCTATCTCCAGAGGTCAATTTGACTAATAATTCCACAATGATTACAACTGCTTTTGTGACCGCAGTTAGGGGTTCATGCAAAACTGTAGATAATTAGTCAAATCAATCATCAATGACTAGAAGCTTTTTATGCAAATGTGAAGCAGACGAAGAAGGGACGATTATTCAGTCCGTGTTCCGGAGGACAGTTGGCGAGATAAACTTTCATTTACTACACGGATTATTACACTGAGCCCATGTGTTGAAATAAGACTGTTTCCATAAAACATTGTCAACAATAATCTCTGCAGTTTCTCACACGTCGTTATGGATGTTTTTATAATAATCAGAGAGGTAAAGAAGTGAGAGACCAGAGAGAGACCAGAGAGAGACCAGAGAGAGACCAGAGAGAGACCAGAGAGAGACCAGAGAGAGACCAGAGAGAGACCAGAGAGAGACCAGAGAGAGACCAGAGAGAGACCAGAGAGAGACCAGAGAGAGACCAGAGAGAGACCAGAGAGAGACCAGAGAGAGACCAGAGAGAGAGACCAGAGAGATTGACCAGAGAGAAACCAGAGAGAGACCAAAGAGAGACCAGAGAGAGACCAGAGAGAGACCAAAGCTTGAATATGATGGCAGTTGTATGTTCCGTGCTTTTGTCCTTAGCAGTAATTATCACTTCTTCTACACATTTATGGTGCGTGTGCAGGTCTATTCTTGTCTTGCCGTCACAGTGGGATCCTGCCTCGTCTGTGTCAGTCATGGTTGGTCTATAAATATGACTGTAACATGATTTATGGTTCGCTCTATAATTCAAAATCATCAATAGTGTAGCCACCAAGTCCATTTGTACCCAGATACCATCAAGTCTGGTCCAAATCCGTTGCTTGTTCTTGCGGAGAATCTGGAGAAAAGCCTTGGATTTTAACGCTTCTGGTGCCATGTGTCTGTCACAGCGTTTCCATGGACACCAGGGAAACAGGATTAATGCGATCGCAATTTATGAATGTAGGATTATGCTGTTTGGAAGCGTTAAAATAGACTAGAGTGAGACCAGAGTGAGACCAGAGTGAGACCAGAGTGAGACCAGAGTGAGACCAGAGTGAGACCAGAGTGGTGGAGACCAGAGAGGTGGAGACCAGAGAGGTGGAGACCAGAGAGGTGGAGACCAGAGAGGTGGAGACCAGAGAGGTGGAGACCAGAGAGGTGGAGACCAGAGAGGTGGAGACCAGAGAGGTGGAGACCAGAGAGGTGGAGACCAGAGAGGTGGAGACCAGAGAGGTGGAGACCAGAGAGGACAAGTTTCATTAGACAAGTTTCCTAAAGCGGCCCTGTTTATTTTATGTAACGGACGTGATGATTTGACGGAATGAGCTTTGTGGAAGTTTGATAGGTATTTTCAGATGTCCACATTTGATTCAGAGATTCTATTTTTTTACACAAAGTAGATGCAAAGTGATACTGTCATATTGTCAAGTAATTAAATGTGAAAACAGACCAGTTTTTTTTTTTCTCAAGTTTAATTTTTAGAGAAAAGAGGACCGTCCTCATCACGTCCGTTATACATTTTTCAGGGGTCATTTAATCAATTAATTTATTTTTTATTTTTTTTACAATTCCTTTTTATATCAAGTGATTTCCTGATGTTGTGTTAACCATGTAAATCTTGTGGGATTTCATCTTCTGCTTTTTCAGACTGAGGACATTCTATTTTCTATGTAACTGGCGTCACAGTAGAATGGTCCAATCAGAGGCTAATTTGGTCGTTTAAAATGTTGCTAAAAATTATTTTGTCGATCTTTCCTTTTGATTTTTTCCACACTATCTCTTCAATCTGTCTGTGTTTGAAATCTTTTCTCCAATCTATGAAAGTGATTTTTGTTTTTAAGTTATAACCTTTTAAAGTCCAGATACTTCAATTGTCACTTTACTGTGAACACACTCAATTACAAATATAACTTGGTCCTGCATATTACTGTGATTTACATGTGATAAATTTCCATGCGAAAATTTTCAGTCAAATCTTTTTTTTTTTTTGCTCTAACCCCTGCTCTAGTCCAGGAGACGGGTTTAAGCAGCACCACTCTGTCCTTGTCCCTGATCCTGTTCCTCCAGTTAGAAACAATTAAGACCAGTGGCATCTTATCTCGTATGCAGAGTTTTCTCGTGCTGCCCTCGGGCTCGGCGGTGTCTCCCTGTGTGTGTTCTGTGCGTTGCTCTTCATTAATCATAGACTGATGGTGGAGATGAGAGTCAGCTGCTCGGGCTTCGATGCAGCTCTCCTCACACCTGCTGCGAGCTCTAATGTCTTTAACTCCTCATCCTCATCTTCATCCACCACAGGACAGACATCTCTCACTTTGGGAAGCTTTATCGTGGGATCAACCGTGAGGAAGAGGTGCAGATATGTGTGGTTTTGTAGTGGAGGGAGAGAGGAGAGGGAGAGAGGAGAGGGAGAGGCCAGAGGGAGAGAGCAGAGGGAGACTAGAAGGAGAGACCTGGGAGAGAAACCAGAGAGAGGCTAGAGAGAGAGACCAGAGGGAGAGTTCAGAAAGACCATAGAGAGAGACCAGAGGGGGCGAGACCAGAGGGGGCGAGACCAGAGGGGGCGAGACCAGAGGGGGCGAGACCAGAGGGGGCGAGACCAGAGGGCGAGACCAGAGGGCGAGACCAGAGGGCGAGACCAGAGGGCGAGACCAGAGGGCGAGACCAGAGTGAGAGACCAGAGTGAGAGACCAGAGTGAGAGACCAGAGTGAGAGACCAGAGTGAGAGACCAGAGTGAGAGACCAGAGTGAGAGACCAGAGGGCGAGACCAGAGGGCGAGACCAGAGGGCGAGACCAGAGGGCGAGACCAGAGGGCGAGACCAGAGGGCGAGACCAGAGTGAGAGACAGAGTGAGAGACCAGAGTGAGAGACCAGAGTGAGAGACCAGAGTGAGAGACCAGAGTGAGAGACCAGAGTGAGAGACCAGAGTGAGAGACCAGAGTGAGAGACCAGAGTGAGAGACCAGAGTGAGAGACCAGAGTGAGAGACCAGAGGGGCGAGACCAGAGGGCGAGACCAGAGGGGCGAGACCAGAGGGCGAGACCAGAGGGCGAGACCAGAGGGCGAGACCAGAGTGAGAGACCAGAGGGCGAGACCAGAGTGAGAGACCAGAGTGAGAGACCAGAGTGAGAGACCAGAGTGAGAGACCAGAGTGAGAGACCAGAGTGAGAGACCAGAGTGAGAGACCAGAGTGAGAGACCAGAGGGGAGACCAGAGTGAGAGACCAGAGTGAGAGAGACCAGAGTGAGGAATCAAACGTGAGGAGGAGGTGCAGATATCTGTGGCTCTGTTTGTGTCCTGTTCCCTTTTGGAGATGAATCAGTCAGATTTATTTATATAAAACCTGTCCTGCTTTTATCTCTGATGCAGAACAGCGCCACAATCAGAACAGGAGATGAAGAGTATTATGGCTGTTTTATGTGATTTATGGACACGATTGAAGAGAAAAGAGATTGAGATGGAACTAATGCTTTTCGGGCCGTTTGTTTAAAGCTGGTCCTGGTCCTGGTCCTGGTCCTGGTCCTGGTCCTGGAGGCCTCAGTGCTGCGGTCTCTCACTAACACGCTTCACCTGTCGAGCCCTCGCTGTTTCTGGAGTTTTGTGTGTGTGATTGTGCAGGTTTTTTTGTTTCTATTTTTACTACTTTTTTATAGGAAAATTTCACTCTTTAAACTCTGTAATTACAGTTTTGCCCATATATGTATAAGTCCATGTATGTATATGTTATTACATGTATGTATATGTTAGTACATGTATGTATATGTTAGTACATGTATGTATATGTTAGTAAATGTATGTATATGTTAGTAAATGTATGTATATGTTAGTACATGTATGTATATGTAAGTACATGTATGTATATGTAAGTACATGTATGTATGTGTTAGTACATGTATGTATATTTTAGTGCATGTATGTATGTGTTAGTACATGTATGTATGTGTTAGTACATGTATGTATATGTTAGTACATGTATGTATATGTAAGTACATGTATGTATGTGTTAGTACATGTATGTATGTGTTAGTACATGTATGTATGTGTTAGTACATGTATGTATATGTAAGTACATGTATGTATATGTTAGTACATGTATGTATATGTTAGTACATGTATGTATATGTTAGTACATGTATGTATATGTTAGTACATGTATGTATATGTTAGTACATGTATGTATATGTAAGTACATGTATGTACTTACATAGGCCAGAAGGTCGTGGGTTCAATTCCCACCTCTGCACCTTCTCCACCGACTCCCACTGATGACTGCTGTCGTTGTGTCCTTGGGCAAGACACTTAACCCCACTTTGCCCAAAGCCCCCACTGAAAGATCAAGGCTATGCTCACACTCAGAGAGCAGCCGTCCTCCTGTGGACTCACCACCTGCAGAGGGTCAGTGAGGGGCTGGTGCTATGAGACTTGGGTGGCATCTCTGACTGCCACCCCCCTGACCCAGAAATGGATTGAAGGGTAGAAGATGGATGGATGGATGGATGTATGTGTTAGTACATGTATGTATGTGTTAGTACATGTATGTATATGTTAGTACATGTATGTATATGTTAGTACATGTATGTATATGTAAGTACATGTATGTATGTGTTAGTACATGTATGTATGTGTTAGTACATGTATGTATATGTTTATGTAAGTGCATGAATGCCTGAAGTCTGTACACAGTCACGCTCTCCTCTGCACCTGTTGTCAGCCTGTACTCTATTGTTTGAATATTAATTATAAGTTCAGCTGTTGTTTTCCTTATCACTCACAAATTTGAGGTAAAACTATCGGTAACAAGCAGCAAAACAAAGCCATCAATTAAAAGTTTTCAAGTCATTAATTTAGTGCTTTGTCCTGGATGTGTTTACTACAGAGAAATATGTTCTGTTCACAACAGTCTGTAGTTTCAGAGACACACGTTACTACAATTCTACTGTACAAAACTATCTACTGTTTTACTATAGCCCTGTTTCCACCTGCTCTGCTCTACTCTACTCTGCTCTGCTCTACTCTACTCTACTCTACTCTGCTCTGCTCCACTCTACTATTCTCTTCTCTTCTCTACTCTACTCTACTCTACTCTACTCATTCTTGAGCACAGAGAGTGAGACCAGAGAGGGACACCAGAAAGAGAGATACCAGAGAGCAAGAGCAGAGAGAGAGATACCAGAAAGAGAGAGACCAGAGAGCAAGAGCAGAGAGAGAGATACCAGAAAGAGAGAGACCAGAGAGCAAGAGCAGAGAGAGAGATACCAGAAAGAGAGAGACCAGAGAGCAAGAGCAGAGAGAGAGAGATACCAGAGAGGGACACCAGAAAGAGAGAGACCAGAGAGTAAGAGCAGAGAGAGAGAGATACCAGAGAGTAAGAGCAGAGAGAGAGATACCAGAGAGGGACACCAGAAAGAGAGATACCAGAGAGTAAGAGCAGAGAGAGAGATACCAGAGAGGGACACCAGAAAGAGAGAGACCAGAGAGCAAGAGCAGAGAGAGAGAGAGACCAGAGAGGGACACCAGAAAGAGAGATACCAGAGAGTAAGAGCAGAGAGAGAGATACCAGAGAGGGAAATACAAAGAGAGATACCAGAGAGTAAGAGCAGAGAAAGAGATACCAGAGAGGGACACCAGAAAGAGAGAGACCAGAGGGTAAGAGCAGAGAGAGAGAGATACCAGAGAGGGACACTTTGTCTTCACACCTTTTCGTCGGCTTCCAGTTTCATTGGTTAATTTCTCCGTAATGTGACGGTCGGCCGCAGCGCGTGGGATAATGAACGGCGGGAGCAGACGTCACACAGAGCTAATCAGACACTTGTTGCTCGGTCATTTGTGAGATGTGGTTATTTTGGGAATTATGCAGCAATGTCAGGAAGTGGCTGCAGCTTTAACATGATCTGAAAGAAATAATGGGATTCAAAATGGACGGAATACATGACAGAGTGGGCGGCATAGATTATGCAGGAAGGTCAGGGGGTGGTCCAGGACTTTATGGACATGTGTTTGAACGGTTTGATTCTCCGATCTGTGTTGGTAAATAAACAACATCTGTGTCTGCTATAGCTGACAGATGTGCTTATGTGGCCCTGGTCCACGTTCTGTAGCTTAGGTCCTGGATCTACAGCCCGTCCGTCCGTGTGGAGCGGATCCCTCTCTCAATATGTGGGTCTCCCCGAGGTTTCTCACTTTTTTACAAGATACAAGAATTTTATTTGCCATTTGCAGTAAAACCACATTGGAAAAACTCTGCTCTGGCTCCAGACCTCTAGTCCTGGTCCTGGCTTCAGTGCATGCTCTCTGCAGACTCACACAGATCGGGAAACACTTGATAAACCTCGCCGTCTGTGTCGTCCGTGAGTCTCCAGTGCTCAGGAGGCTCCGGCAGAACACGCTATCCCGGTCAGCAGCTTTGGCCAGCTCTACTTCATAAAGCCCGGGTCCTGGAGCTGAGGCAGAGCTGGTCCTGGAGCTGAGGCAGAGCAGGTCCCTGGGTCCTGGAGCTGAGGCAGAGCAGGTCCTGGGTCCTGGAGCTGGAGCTGAGGCAGAGCAGGTCCTGGGTCCTGGAGCTGAGGCAGAGCAGGTCCTGGGTCCTGGAGCTGAGGCAGAGCAGGTCCTGGAGCTGGAGCTGAGGCAGAGCAGGTCCTGGGTCCTGGAGCTGAGGCAGAGCAGGTCCTGGGTCCTGGAGCTGAGGCAGAGCAGGTCCTGGGTCCTGGAGCTGAGGCAGAGCAGGTCCTGGGTCCTGGAGCTGAGGCAGAGCAGGTCCTGGAGCTGGAGCTGAGGCAGAGCAGGTCCTGGGTCCTGGAGCTGAGGCAGAGCAGGTCCTGGGTCCTGGAGCTGAGGCAGAGCAGGTCCTGGGTCCTGGAGCTGAGGCAGAGCAGGTCCTGGAGCTGGAGCTGAGGCAGAGCAGGTCCTGGGTCCTGGAGCTGAGGCAGAGCAGGTCCTGGGTCCTGGAGCTGGAGCTGAGGCAGAGCAGGTCCTGGGTCCTGTGTCCTGGAGCTGAGGCAGAGCAGATCCTGGGTCCTGGAGCTGGAACTGAGGCAGAGCAGGTCCTGGAGCTGGAGCTGAGGCAGAGCAGGTCCTGGGTCCTGGAGCTGGAACTGAGGCAGAGCAGGTCCTGGGTCCTGGGTCCTGGAGCTGAGGCAGAGCAGGTCCTGGGTCCTGGAGCTGGAGCTGAGGCAGAGCAGGTCCTGGGTCCTGGAGCTGGACTGAGACGGAGCCAGTTTCGTAATGAGGCAGATTCTGGAGGATTAAGCTCCAAATGGTGACGAGGAACGGCAGCCAAACTCGCCGTCGCCATGGGAACGCCGTCAAGTCCACAACAAACACGCTTCCATTTTTATTTATTCAGGCCTTATACTCTCACTATGAATGATGTATCACACTACAATCACGGCACAGTTCCCACACAAGGCAAGTCAAGTGCTCGACAAAACCAGAGAGAAGCAATCGCATAAACAAGCCACATAAATGATCACAGTACATTCATAAAGAGTAAAAATACTTTTTTTCAGTATTTTAATCTGCATCACTTTGAGTTGCTGTGTGAATGGACTGTTCTGGAGGTTCTTTATAAATTCAGACTTTTAAACCAAGTTCTGAGCATTATCAACGACTCTTCTGGCCTCCCTGGGAAAGCCATGTTCCAGCTTCTTCCCTCTGGCAGAATATATCGTTCGCTGAGATACAGGACATCTCGTTACGCTAACAGCTTTTTTCCACAGGCTGTTATCAGTCTGAACAGAGCACTTTAATGATCTTGCACTTTGTATTGATACTGTTTTAGTCGATTGATTTCACAGTGACAATTGTTTACTGTTTTATCTGTATTATTTCTGTACTTTTAATGTTGTTTTATGTCTGTACTTGTCTTGTGCACACTGGGGACTTTTTGCTATTGTATTCCAATGTGGTTTTACTGCAAATGGCAAATAAATTAATCTGAATCTGCTATACCAGTAAACTTGCCTTAAATCTAGTGTTGAGCTGAGTCTCCTCCAAACGACTGCTGTCTTGTTGAGTACAGTCTGATCCTGTTTCTTCTCTCTCTTCACGTCTTCTTCCTCAAACACTTCCTGTGTGACATCACCTCCCACTGAGGACCAGATGCTCCTCTCTGCAGGATTCAGGAGCTCTTGGAATTTAGGATTTCAGCCCAAAACCCTATTGTTCTCAAGCATCGGACGTTCAAGTGGGGATAGTCTATCGTATCTGATGAAGATTAAGAAATCCCAGTGTTGGGAAATGTCAGTGTTGCATCGCCAGTTACAGAACAGTAGGAACGAGGAGCACAGAGATACATTATAGATACATTATAAATAACTAGCTTTAGCATGATAAAGAAGCAAATTTAAAATCCCTGGTCTCTCTCTCTCTCTGGACTCTCTCTCTGGTGTCTCTCTCTGGACTCTCTCTCTGGTGTCTCTCTCTGGACTCTCTCTCTGGTGTCTCTCTCTGGTCTCTCTCTCTGGTCTTTCTTTCTAATCTCTCTTTCTGGTCAAAACGCTCACACTTTACAAGACCAGGAGAACTAGACCTGCCAAAACACGCCACTTCTGCTAATGTTTGGGACGTCCATGGTGCGAGCATGAACCAATGAGCACAGGCCACTGATATGAATGGACAGACATCTTGGACAGACCTGGGGCAGACATCTTGGAGAGACCCGGGGCAGACATCTTGGAGAGACCAGGGGCAGACTTGGAGAGACCTGGGGCAGACATCTTGGAGAGACCCGGGGCAGACATCTTGGAGAGACCTGGGGAAGACATCTTGGAGAGACCTGGGGCAGATATCTTGGAGAGACCCGGGGCAGACATCTTGGAGAGACCTGGGGCAGACTTCTTGGAGAGACCTGGGGCAGATATCTTGGAGAGACCTGGGGCAGACATCTTGGAGAGACCAGGGGCAGACTTGGAGAGACCTGGGGCAGACATCTTGGAGAGACCCGGGGCAGACATCTTGGAGAGACCAGGGGCAGACTTGGAGAGACCTGGGGCAGACATCTTGGAGAGACCTGGGGCAGACATCTTGGAGAGACCTGGGGCAGACATCTTGGAGAGACTTGGGGCAGATATCTTGGAGAGACCTAGGGCAGACATCTTGGAGAGACCAGGGGCAGATATCCTGGAGACTTGGGGGTATCTTGAGACCTGGACAGTCACAGAACTCTTGTATTGTCTTGTATCTACCTCAGTGGTAGTATAAACACAGTGGCTGTTTTCCTCTTCACACACAGACTCTGGCATTTACCACAGTCTGGAGTCGCTCTCAGTGAGACGCACAAACAACAGCTGCCCAAATGTCTTGCGTGAGTCACGGCCGGTCCTCTCCCTCAGCATGAGGCCGCTGTTTGCCGGTCTGTTTGCTCTAGGTCCAGAAAGACTGAGACTGGTCCATCGAGGCGCTGCTGCTGCTGTTACTATTACTGCTACTACTACTGATATAACTAATATTACTGCTGCTGCTACTACTGCTGCTATAACTATTGCATTTCCTGTGTTTGAACTGTTTTATTGTCTGTTTTGTTGTTGGCGAATCCATGACTTTGTAGAGATTTAGGGAGAGAGAGTGGAGGGGACCGACACCACTCTGTTTCTAGAGCCCAAAGGACATTTCAGTTTGAAACCGTCCAAACTTGTGCCTCTGTGATTTTGTGAAGTGGGAAAAAACGGACTAAAAGCTTGTTGGTAAATTTCCCTAATATGTATTCACTACATGACACTTGTGATAAATAAGAGAACAATCGTTGTGTTGAATGTGGCCTTTCGACGGCATATTAGAATGGATGGCAGAGTGTGTGTTTGTAGCTGGAGGTACTGTATGTATGTGCCCTGCCTCAGACCTGCCTCAGACCTGCCTCAGACCTGCCTCAGACCTGCCTCAGACCTGCCTCAGACCTGCCTCAGACCTGCCTCAGACCTGCCTCAGCATTCATCAAAGGAACAGCAGGTCTCCCATGATCGGGGTCGGCCCATCTGACCTTCAGCAGGGGACGCTTTTGCTCTGCACTGCACAAAATAATATGTTTTTGAGGTATTCTGGACTCTGCTCTGGTCCATTGTTGACTGAGCTCCGAGGTCTGGTCATAGCTCTGCTCCGTTGTCGATGTGAATGTGAGGAGGATAATTCTATCTTTGATTTTATCTCAGATTCAGATTCAGTTTATTTGCCATTTGCAGTAAAAACACCACATAGGAATACATTAGCAAAAGTCACCAGTGTGCACAGACAAATACAGACATAAAACAACATTAAAAGACAAAAATAAAACAAATAAAACAGTAAACAAATGTCACTGTGAAATCGATCGACTAAAACAGTTTCAAAACAAGTGCAAATCATTAAAGTGCTCTGTTCAAACTGATAACAGCCTGTGGATAAAAACTGTTAGCGTAACGAGATGTCCTGCATCTCAGAGAGCGATATCTTCTGCCAGAGGGAAGAAGCTGGAACATGGCTTTCCCAGGGTGGCCAGAAGAGAGAGCATGAGGACTAGCAAGATGGCGCCATGTCAGGGTGCCGCAATGAACGCTCTGGTGCGCACAATCTGTGTTTTGTTGTTTTTCGTCTGGGATTCACTTGCCACAGTGAAATATGATCGGCAAACACTTCTGTACATTCGGGACCACGCGTGTGACGGGTCACTCGTTTTACCTGAACTGAGGTGCACAAACTTCCTCGAGTGTCCCACTCGAGAGGCAGGCGGAGCACGGCAGGCGGAGCACGGCAGGCGGAGCACGGCAGGCGGAGCACGGCAGGCGGAGCACGGCAGGCGGAGCACGGCAGGCGGAGCACGGCAGGCGGAGCACGGCAGGCGGAGCACGGCAGGCGGAGCACGGCAGGCGGGCCGCGGCGGTGGCCGCCAACAGAGCGAGGGGACTGGGCGAAGGAGGCGCAGACACCGGGGAAGGCGAGGCGGTCTGCTCGTTCGTAGCCGCTCCTCCAGGACCCCTTTGCCCTCCATCTACCTGGCCAAACGTCTAGTCTCTGCCCAACAAGACGGACGAGCTCCTGTGTCGGGTCCAGAGCCAGCGCGAGGCCCGGGACTGTGTTCTGCCTCAGCGAGACGTGGCTCCACTCGAACGTCCCGGACTCTGCTGTTCAGCCCCCGGGATTCACTGCTCACCGCTCGGACAGAGTGAAGGAGACCACGGGCAAGGCCAGAGGTGGAGGTGTGTGCTTTTTTATTAATCAGCGCTGGTGCACGGACACTCGTATCGTGAACCATACATGTACTGCCAATCTGGAATGCCTGGTCTTGAGCTGCCGCCCTTTTTATCTTCCCCGTGAGTTTTCAGTGATATTTTTATGTGCTGTTTACATTCACCCACGTGCGGATTACAAAGTAGCCCTACAGGATCTGAGCGAGATCCTTCACAAACATGAGTCTGCTCATCCTAACGCAGTCATCATTGTTGCTGGGGATTTCAATAAATGTAATTTAAAGACTGTACTCCCGAACTTTTACCAACATGTGACTCGAGCTACAAGAGGAGCACATGTTCTGGATCACTGCTACAGTAACGTGAAGGGAGCTTACAGGTCCAGTCTCAGACCTCCTTTTGGAAAGTCTGACCACTCCTCTGTTCTCCTTCTTCCTTCGTATACTCAGAGGAGCAGGGAACATAAACCAACCTCTCGCACTGTGCAGTGTTGGTCTGAGGAGGCTAGCATGAAGCTACAAGGTTGTTTTGATGCTACGGACTGGTCTGTGTTTCAGTCAGAGGACGTCAATTAATTCTGTGACGCGGTGTCGGATACATACGCTTCTGTATTGACTGCTGTGCCCCACAGAAGGTCATTAAAGAACATTTTAGTCAAAACCCTTGGATGAACGCGGAAGTGAAACTGAAACTTCATGAGCGTGCGTTGGCGTTTCAATCAAATGATACAGTTGCTTACAAGTTATCCTGTTACTCATTGAAACGTTCTATTAAATCTGAAAAGCGCAGTTACGGGGACAGGTTAAAGAGTTATTTTGAGGAAGATGACCCTCGGCGCATGTGGAACGGTATTAAAGCCATCACATCGTGGAAACCTAGTGCTGGGAAAATTGCATGTCGGCCAAGCTCTGCCAAACGAGCTGAACACGTTCTACTGTCGCTTTGAATACGCTGATGCTTGTCCTACTGTATTCCCTGAGTGTTTCAATCAAGGTACCTTCACCGTGACTCAGGAGGAAGTCAGGCGTGTCTTGTCCAGGACCACAGTCCGGAAAGCCCCAGGCCCGGACGGCATCCCTCCTCGTGTCCTGAAACTGTGCTCTGAGCAACTTGCCCCTGTGCTAACAGACATTTTTAACCTGTCGCTAAGGAACTGTACTGTGCCGAACTGCTTTAAAGAGTCCACCATCATTCCAGTTCCTAAGAAAGCTCCTGTGACATGCCTGAATGACTATCGTCCTGTGGCCCTCACGTCTGTTCTTATGAAAACTTTTGAGCGGCTTGTGCTGGACTTCATTAAGAGCCAGATCCCTGTGAGTGTTGACCCGCTCCAGTTTGCTTCAGACAGAACAGGAGTGTGGAGGATGCATCTCCTTTGCTCTGAACTCTGTCTACAGTCACTTGGACACTAGTAAATCTGTGGCAAGAATGCTTTTCATCGATTATAGCTCTGCTTTTAACTGCCTTGTCCCAGGTAAACTGATGGAAAAGCTCATGTCTCTCGGTTTAAGTGTTACCATGTGTAAATGGATTTTTAGCTTTTTAACTGACAGATCTCAGAGAGTGTTTTTCTGATGTTGTTTCTGTGAGCACAGGTTCTCCTCAGGGATGTATTTTGAGTCCTTTGCTTTTTACTTTGTACACTCACGATTGTGTGTCCTCCTCTGACTCAAACTTGATCATCAAATATGCTGATGACACCACCATCATCGGTCTCATCAGTGACACTGATGAATCCTCTTACAGAGCAGAGATACAAAATGTGGTTTTGTATCTCTCTCTCTCTGGTCTCTCTCTGGTCTCTCTCTGGTCTCTCTCTGGTCTCTCTCTGGTCTCACAGCCCATGGTCCTCTTAGCAGAACGGAGCACCTTGTTTAAAGCTCTCTTTTCTTTATCTGTGATGTTTCCAAACCACACAGACACAGAACCAACAAGTAAACTCTCAATGGTGCAGCGATAAAAGTTAAGCACAATCTTAGAGTTAGTGGTAAATTCTCTAAGTTTACGCAGAAAGTAGAGACGCTGACGAGCTTTCTTAACGACTCGGTCAGTGTTTTTAACCCATTTCAGGTTAGACAGAGTTAAACCCAGAAACTTGCACTCCTCTACGATCTGCACCTGGGAGTTGTCGATTACGACAGCAGTGTGAGAACTATTGCGACTGAAGTCGTAGACCAGTTCACATGTTTTGGATGCGTTCAACTGGAGGTTGTTAGTTTGACTCCACTGAACCACATTTTGTATCTCTGCTCTGTAAGAGGATTCATCAGTGTCACTGATGAGACCGATGATGGTGGTGTCATCAGCATATTTGATGATCAAGTTTGAGTCAGAGGAGGACACACAATCGTGAGTGTACAAAGTAAAAAGCAAAGGACTCAAAATACATCCCTGAGGAGAACCAGTGCTCACAGAAACAACATCAGAAAAACACTCTCTGAGATCTGTCAGTTAAAAAGCTAAAAATCCATTTACACATGGCAACATTTAAACCGAGAGACATGAGCTTTTCCATCAGTTTACCTGGGACAAGGCAGTTAAAAGCAGAGCTATAATAGATGAAAAGCATTCTGGCCACAGATTTACTAGTGTCCAAGTGACTGTAGACAGAGTTCAGAGCAAAGGAGATGGCATCCTCCACACTCCTGTTCTGTCTGTAGCAAACTGGAGCGGGTCAACACTCACAGGGATCTGGCTCTTAATGAAGTCCAGCACAAGCCGCTCAAAAGTTTTCATAAGAACAGACGTGAGGGCCACAGGACGATAGTCATTAAGGCATGTCACAGGAGCTTTCTTAGGAACTGGAATGATGGTCGACTCTTTAAAGCAGTTCGGCACAGTACAGTTCCTAAGCAACAGGTTAAAAATGTCTGTTAGCACAGGGGCAAGTTGCTCAGAGCACAAGAGTATCTTTACTCTTTTTAATGCATTGTGGCTCTTTATGACTTAAATTCCATGTGTGATTTAAATATTTTAAGATTTTTAATGACTTGTGTGATTTTTTGTTTTTGTTTTCAATATTTCTTGTAACCTGGCATTACCCATGTGTAAACTCCGGTCCATGGTCATTTCCTACATGTACGTCTGGGTCTGGTCCTAGTGGCTGCAGTTTCCTCAGTTGAATCCCCTCCGACCAATCAGAGAGCGGGGGAGGCGGGTGTTGTAGCTCGGTGTCGGTTACGTCAAGAGTTTGTGCCAAATTTGCGGTTGTAGTTTGGCGGAGAATGCGATACTGAAGTAATCTGTTCTGATTCAGATCCAAATATCAAGCAATTGAAGCCGGAGCAAGAGGAATGTTTAGTAAATGTCACTGCTGCAAAGATGTTGTGGAAAATGAGATGGCTAAAGCTAGGCTAAATGCTAAATACCTCACTCACTCGGGCACTTTACATACGTCACAGCAAACTCGGCAAAAGGAGTTAACCCCACCCACATGTTAACAGAGCTCAATTGAGTAAATCCAGACCTCAGTACAAAATGAAAGTAGTACGATGGTATGGTAAGACCAGGCTATATTTCTTTTGATCTTATTGTGTGTTTTTAATGCCCAGTGGGATTTTAATAGTATTTTTTTTAATGTTTATGGTTTATGCTTGATGTGATATGGGTTGTGAGGCGCTTTGTGTTGCCTTGTGTTGGAAAGGCAACACACAAAAGTTGATTGATAAGTATGAGCTGATTGAGATAAAGAACACTTAAAGAAGACGTATCATGCTATATTTTTGGCCTCTACAATTGATAATGTTACTATTAACTCTGTGCTGTTGTGCGTCTGTGTGTAACTCTCTGTGCCGTTGTGCGTCTGTGTGTAACTCTTTGTGCTGTCGTGTCTGTGTGTAACTCTCTGTGTCGTTGTGCCTGTGTGTAACTCTCTGTGCTGTCGTGTCTGTGTGTAACTCTCTGTGTCGTTGTGCGTCTGTGTGTAACTCTCTGTGCTGTCGTGTCTGTGTGTAACTCTCTGTGTCGTTGTGCGTCTGTGTGTAACTCTCTGTACTGTCGTGTCTGTGTGTAACTCTCTGTGCTGTCGTGTCTGTGTGTAACTCTCTGTGTCGTTGTGCCTGTGTGTAACTCTCTGTGCCGTCGTGTCTGTGTGTAACTCTCTGTGCCGTTGTGCGTCTGTGTGTAACTCTCTGTGCCGTCGTGTCTGTGTGTAACTCTCTGTGCCGTTGTGCGTCTGTGTGTAACTCTCTGTGCTGTCGTGTCTGTGTGTAACTCTCTGTGCCGTCGTGTCTGTGTGTAACTCTCTGTGCCGTTGTGTCTGTGTGTAACTCTGTGCCATTGTGCGTCTGTGTGTAACTCTCTGTGCCGTCGTGTCTGTGTGTAACTCTCTGTGCCGTTGTGCGTCTGTGTGTAACTCTCTGTGCCGTCGTGTCTGTGTGTAACTCTCTGTGCCATTGTGCGTCTGTGTGTAACTCTGTGCCGTTGTGTCTGTGTGTAACTCTGTGCCATTGTGCGTCTGTGTGTAACTCTCTGTGCTGTCGTGTCTGTGTGTAACTCTCTGTGTCGTTGTGCGTCTGTGTGTAACTCTCTGTGCCGTCGTGTCTGTGTGTAACTCTCTGTGCTGTCGTGTCTGTGTGTAACTCTCTGTGCCGTTGTGTCTGTGTGTAACTCTCTGTGCTGTTGTGTCTGTGTGTAACTCTCTGTGCCGTCGTGTCTGTGTGTAACTCTCTGTGCCATTGTGCGTCTGTGTGTAACTCTCTGTGCTGTTGTGTCTGTGTGTAACTCTCTGTGCTGTTGTGTCTGTGTGTAACTCTCTGTGCCGTCGTGTCTGTGTGTAACTCTCTGTGCCGTTGTGTCTGTGTGTAACTCTCTGTGCCGTCGTGTCTGTGTGTAACTCTCTGTGCCGTTGTGCGTCTGTGTGTAACTCTCTGTGCTGTTGTGTGTCGCAGGCGAATAAAGAGCTGAAACTCTACGACAACAAGATCATTGAGTGCAAGTTCGAACACAACACCTGGGTTTTTATGCGGCAGAGAGTCGACAAGAGCTTCCCCAACTCCTACGACACGGCCATGGGTGAGTGTCGGACCATGCTAACACGCTAGCTCAATGCTAACACGCTAGCTTAATACTCATGGACAAAGTTTGGGTCCAACTCTGTGGCTCCTATTGACTCACATGTAAACGTAGACTCCTCTAACTCAGAGGCTCAGGCTGAGGCGGACATCTTGGAGACCTGTGGCTTGGTGTCAATCAATCCTCTGATCTCTCCCTGGTGTCTCTCTTGTCTCTCTCTGGTCTTTCTCGCTGTCTCTCTCTGGTCTCTCTCTCTTGTCTCTCTGGTCTCTCTGTCTGGTCTCTCTGGTCTCTATCTCTGATCTCTCTCTGGTCTCTCTCTCTGGTCTCGCTAGTCTCTCTCTCTGGTCTCTCTCTGGTTTCTCTTTGGTCTCTTTTTGGTCTCTCTCTCTGGTCTTTCTGGTCTCTGTATCTAGTCTCTCTCTGATCTCTCTCTCTGGTCTCTCTCTCTGGTCTCTCTCTGGTCTCTCCCTGGTCTCTCTCTGGTTTCTCTTTGGTCTCTTTCTGGTCTTTCTGTTGTCTCTGGTCTCTGTATCTAGTCTCTCTCTCTGGTCTCTCTCTCTGGTGTCTCTCTCTGATCTCTCTCTGGTCTCTCTGGTCTCTCTCTGGTCTCTCTCCCTGGTCTCTCCCTGGTCTCTCTCTCTGGTTTCTCTTTGGTCTCTTTCTGGTCTTTCTGTTGTCTCTGGTCTTTGTATCTAGTCTCCCTCTCTGGTCTCTCTCTCTGGTGTCTTGGTGTCTCTCTCTGGTCTCTCTGGTCTCTCTCTCTGGTCTCTCTCTGGTCTCTCTCTCTGGTCTCTCTCTGGTCTCTCTCTCGCTGGTCTCCTCTCTCTGGTCTCTCACTGGTCTCTCTGGTCTCTCTGGTCTCTCTCTCTGGTCTCTCTCTGGTCTCTCTGGTCTCTCTCTCTGGTCTCTCTCTGGTCTCTCTCTCTGGTCTCTCTCTGGTCTCTCTCTGGTCTCTCTGGTCTCTCTCTCTGGTCTCTCTCTCTGGTCTCTCTCTGGTCTCTCTCTGTCTCTCTCTCTGGTCTCTCTCTGGTCTCTCTCTGGTCTCTCTCTGGTCTCTCTCTCTGGTCTCTCTCTGGTCTCTCTGGTCTCTCTGGTCTCTCTCTCTGGTCTCTCCTGGCCTCTCTCTGGTCTCTCTCTGGCTCTCTCTCTGGTGTCTCTCTCTGGTCTCCTCCTCTCCTTCTCTCTCTCTGGTCTCTCTCTGGTCTCTCTCTAGTCTCTCTCTGGTCTCTCTCTGGTCTCTCTCTGGTCTCTCTCTCTGGTCTCTCTCCGGTCTCTCTCCGGTCATTGGGACAGCTTTTTTTTCTTGTGGAATATTCTTGAGATTACAGAGAAATTCCCCCTAAACTCAGATTAGAATCTGACTTTCGTACAGTTGCCATAGTTACCACCAAAGACGTCTTCAGCTCAATGTGAAACTCCGGACTCTTTGGAGCATTGTGATGTCACACAACAGCAGACTGTAGAGTATCACAGAGACACACGGAGCACGTCTCTCTTTGAGCTAACAATGGATAAAAGCAGCAAAGGAGATGAAAGACTCGCAGCACCTGGCAACAAGGAGTTTGACGGACTCTGCTGTAGTTGTGTCTTTGAGCAACACACTCCGCCCACAGCAGAAGGAAGTGTGTGAATGATCAGAAATGGGAGGGGCTGATTTTACTTTCCTCGCTTCTGTCATTGTGCCCTAGGGCAGCTGCGGCTCTCTCCTCTCCTCTCTCAATGCTCTCTCTATCCTTTCTCTCCTCTCTCCTCTCTTCTCTCCTCTCTCTCTCACTCCTCTCCCCTCTCCTTTATCTACTCCCTCTCCTCTCTCATCTCTCCAATCCTCTCTCCCCTCTCCTCTCCTCTTTTATCTCTCCTCTCCTCTCTCCTCACTCTCCTTTCTCTCTCCTCTCCTCTCTCTCCTCTCTCCTCTCTCATCTCTCCTTTCTCCTCTCTCCCTCCTCTCTCCCCTCTCCTCTCCTCTTTCATCTCTCCTCTCCTCTCTCCTCACTCTCCTTTCTCTCTCCTTTCTCCCATCTCTCCTCTCATCTTTCATCTCTCGCCTCTCTCATCTCTCTCCCCCTCTCCTTTCTCTCTCCTAACTCTCCCCTCTCCTCTCTCCTCTCTCTCCCCTCTCCCCTCTCCTCTCTCCTCTCTCCTCTCTCCTCTCTCCTCTCTCTCCCCTCTCCTCTCTCCTCTCTCCTCTCTCTCCCCTCTCCTCTCCCCTCTCCCCTCTCCTCTCTCCTCTCTCCCCTCTCCCCTCTCTCCCCTCTCCCCTCTCCCCTCTCCTCTCTCCTCTCTCTCTCCTCTCTCCTCTCTCCTCTCTCTCCTCTCTCCTCTCTCCTCTCTCTCCTCTCTCCTCTCTCCTCTCTCCTCTCTCCTCTCTCCCCTCTCTCCTCTCTCCCCCTCCCTCTCCCCTCTCCTCTCTCCTCTCTCCTCTCTCCCCTCTCCCCTCTCCCCTCTCCTCTCTCCTCTCTCCCCTCTCCCCTCTCTCCCCTCTCCCCTCTCCCCTCTCCTCTCTCCTCTCTCCTCTCTCTCCTCTCTCCTCTCTCCTCTCTCCTCTCTCCTCTCTCTCCTCTCTCTCCTCTCTCCTCTCTCCTCTCTCCTCTCTCTCCCCTCTCCTCTCTCGTCTCTCCTCTCTCCTCTCTCTCCTCTCTCCTCTCTCCTCTCCCCTCTCTCCCCTCTCCCCTCTTCTATATGTCACAGAGATATTCTTGGTGACAGTGAAATAATGCACAATACTTGTTTTTCCGTTGCATTAAATAAAAACTATTTCTTAAAGTCATATTTTTAACAGTGAGAAACAAACGGAGCCAGAGAAACATTTGCAAATTTGGGATAGATTGTTCTGGAAATGAAAAATATAACTGTGTGTGTGTGTGTGTGTGTGTGTGTGTGTGTGTGTGTGTGTGTGTGTGTGTCTGTGTGTCTGTCTGTCTGTCTGTCTGTCTGTCTGTCTGTCTGTCTGTCTGTCTGTCTGTCTGTCTGTCTGTCTGTCTGTCTGTGCAGAGGCCAGTCCCTGTGCTCCTCAGAGTCCCAGCAGGAGGCCAGTCCCTGTGCTCCTCTGAGTCCCAGCAGGAGGCCAGTCCCTGTGCTCCTCTGAGTCCCAGCAGGAGGCCAGTCCCTGTGCTCCTCTGAGTCCCAGCAGGAGCCAGTCCCTGTGCTCCTCTGAGTCCCAGCAGGAGCCAGTCCCTGTGCTCCTCTGAGTCCCAGCAGGAGCCAGTCCCTGTGCATCATTCATTTAAAGCAGAAAAGTCTACATTCTCGTCTCTTTGAGCTTCTCTTTGGAGGTTTTCGGAGGTTTTGAGTCTGTTGGAGGCTCGGTCTGTATCTGCGGCTGGATCACAGCTGTCAATATCATTTTCCTCTTTCTTTGTTGGTGAAAGATGAATGCGAGCTGCAGAGGGAGGAGAGCTTTAGAACTCACCGTCTGGAAACCTGCCAAAAGAGAAGAGCAAAAAGAACCCGTGGATTTGTCATTTGTATTCTCAGTCACAAACTGTTCTGTTACAATTCTATCTTTACATTTTCTCTTGAGAAATATTTCATAAATTAACTTTAACAGACAGCGATGGTCCGTACTCACTGAACTTTGATCTACTACTTTCCCTTTTTTCTCTCCTGTCAAGTGTTCTCTGAGACCTGGTTAGACTATGGGCTTGGAAGAAAGACTCTTTATGACATTTTTGAATCTTTGTCCTCTTTCAAACACCTACGGCTGAATCCCAGAGGTTCTGAGCTTTAGAATGAGGTACAGCATGACTTTGTGGAGCTGAAGTTGGCTGGATGACACTGTGCAAATACCTCATGGGCTGTTAACAGACAGACGGCCACACAACATGACTCTGTGGGCCACATTCTGCACGCGGGCCTCAGTTTGGACAACCCTGGTCTACAGTATCTATCCATCCATCTATCCCTCTATCTCTCTATCTACTCATCTATAAATCTGCCTTTCTTTCTTTCTCTCTGTCCACACTTTCTCTCTGGCAGTGTTGGACAGTGGCTCATGAATACTGTGTCTGTGCTCCCCCTCTGCCTTCGGCTGCGACTCACAGCCCTCAGACTATTATCGTTTATCATTTTTAGGGAACATTTTGTCTGTTTGTCTCCAAAATGGCCGCCACGGCTGAGTGAGCCTTATTACACCTGTCGTTATGGCTCCTGCTGCCTGATGCCTGCTGCCTACTGCCTGCTGCCTGCTGCCTGCTGCCTGATGCCTGCTGCCTGCTGCCTGCTGCCTGCTGCCTGCTGCCTGCTGCCTGCTGCCTGCTGCCTGATGCCTGCTGCCTGCTGCCTGCTGCCTGCTGCCTGCTGCCTGATGCCTGCTGCCTGCTGCCTGCTGCCTGATGCCTGATGCCTGCTGCCTGCTGCCTGCTGCCTGCTGCCTGATGCCTGCTGCCTGGTGCCTGGTGTCTGCTGCCTGCTGCCTGATGCCTGATGCCTGCTGCCTGCTGCCTGCTGCCTGGTGCCTGGTGCCTGGTGCCTGCTGCCTGCTGCCTGCTGCCTGCTGCCTGCTGCCTGCTGCCTGCTGCCTGGTGCCTGGTGCCTGCTGCCTGCTGCCTGCTGCCTGCTGCCTGATGCCTGCTGCCTGCTGCCTGATGCCTGCTGCCTGCTGCCTGCTGCCTGCTGCCTGATGCCTGGTGCCTGCTGCCTGATGCCTGCTGCCTGGTGCCTGGTGCCTGCTGCCTGCTGCCTGCTGCCTGCTGCCTGATGCCTGCTGCCTGCTGCCTGCTGCCTGCTGCCTGCTGCCTGGTGCCTGGTGCCTGGTGCCTGCTGCCTGCTGCCTGCTGCCTGATGCCTGCTGCCTGCTGCCTGCTGCCTGATGCCTGCTGCCTGCTGCCTGCTGCCTGCTGCCTGATGCCTGCTGCCTGGTGCCTGGTGCCTGCTGCCTGCTGCCTGCTGCCTGCTGCCTGATGCCTGCTGCCTGCTGCCTGCTGCCTGCTGCCTGCTGCCTGATGCCTGCTGCCTGCTGCCTGCTGCCTGCTGCCTGCTGCCTGCTGCCTGATGCCTGCTGCCTGGTGCCTGCTGCCTGGTGCCTGCT